CCCCATGGGCTTCATCCATCCAGCAGAAGGATGCAGGAGGAAATAATGGTGTTTATTGCTGGCTTCCAGCTGCTGTTGGCCCAGCGTAAAGACAGACGTAGGCATCAATTGCTGGATTTCAAGGAGGAATTTTGGTTTGTATTGTTGCAGCGTGAATGCTGATTAAACCCACTTCATGCTTCAGAGGGTTGAGTGGTTTGGCAGTTGCCTTGGAGCTGGCAAGGTTGTACTTTGACACTATTCCCTCTCCGAAATGTGAGCTTCTGATGATGGTCACCAGCATCACTTGACTCTTAACCTGGCCTGCGCTCTGGGTTTAGCAACTTTAAGTATATAAGAAGGAAGAGCCTCATGCAAATCCTGCACATTTTGAATAGAAGGAACCCGTATCCCCTGCAGAGTAGGACTGTGCCCAACATCACTCAGCTGCACTGCTGCTTGTAGTGCCCTTGTAACCCAGGCGTGCTCACGGTGATTTTTATGGAGCTGCATGTGCATGTGTTTCTACTGCAGTTTAATTGGAGTTACATGAGAACCTGATGTATTTGCACGTTCTGCCAAATACTTCATTCTCCCCATAGAGAAACTTGTGTAATTGCAAAGTGTAATTCACAGGCGCAATACGAAACTTAGTGTGTAATGTTGTGTGACTACGAGGGAATTAGTGTTATTTTTTTCCTTTCAGAAGCTGTATAAATTAACCTACTTTTCCTGTCAGCTACTGGGAGAGAAGGTTACGGTTCTTGCAGTTAGTTTCTGTGCCTTATCTCTGCTGTAAGCATTGCCAAGTGATCCTTGCTGGCTTTGAGGCACCAGCAGCTCCACGAGGAAGAGCGCTCAAGGATGGCTATTAAATTTTACATCCATTCCTGTTCATTCGAGGCTGGGTTCACATGGCTTTGTGTTTGCAGTGTATTTCCACGATTAGTGCAAAGAAATATTTTGATCTCTGTATCCAAAGAGCAGGCTTCCTTCCTGCTGTGGAGTAAAACAGGTCCCTTCCCAGAGTGATGGGGACAGAGCTGCATGTTTTGCCCAAGGTGCTTTAGCACAGAGTGGCAGAAGCAGATCTCTGGGACAGAATCCTGCAGGATTTGCCTGCTGAGCAGAGCATGAAGTCTCGGGGGTCCTACAAGGGTGAATTTGGAGGAAGGGAGCAAAAGACTGAAGCACCTAGAGTGATTCAATGGTGATGTTAACATTGTGCACTCCTAACCTGGACTCACCTTCTCAAAGGGTTTCTTCCATCTCTGCTGCTGCTCTCTGACACTCTGCGGTCACCTGTGTCACCTTGCTGCCAGCCTTGCTGCCTCCAAAAGTTGTCGCTGCACATGATGCAGCCCTGGGGGAGCACAGGGGGAAAGCAGATCTGACTGCTGCCCCTGCACTCCTCCGGCAGTGTTTGGGTTAGCTCCAACAACGTGGCTGCAGAGAGGAGAGCCTGCTGATCTGCTCTGCTGCTCTGGGATGCAAAGCAGGATGGAAACTGCTGGAAAAAATGAGGCTGTTGCAAGAAAAGCAGCTGTTGGTGCTGTCAGTGCTCATCCCAAGATGAAAAATAGTTGAAATCGGAGTTGGACAGCACTGAAGTCCAGATTTTAGAGAGTGATGTAAGCCCTGCAGCATCCAGCATCACTGGGGTCTCCTTTGCATCTCCTTTTTGCTATAAATCTGAACAGGAAGATACTTGGTATTATGTGACATTTAGCCCTGATTTTGCTTCTGAGTTACACAAAGGCTTGGGTAACAATACAAACTTGCATAAATGACGTGTTGTTGTTTTTCTTCTGTGACTTGGGCTAATTCAAACCGGAGTTTCCATTTATCATCCACCACGCACTGGCTGGGAAGCAGAGGGCACACGCACACAAAGGAACAGTGTGGGCAGCCCTGCAGCTTCTGCCATCCACTGTATGGCCTCTCATTGCAGCCACGTGTTTGATGGCTCTGGGTTTTGTCCATAAGGACGTGGATGCAGACACTCCAGCAGTACGTGCCGACGTTCGTGAGCAGCCCTGTAATGAACCAGTTGGTGTGTTTGGGAAAAACAGCTGGTGGAAGGAGAGATTTGAATTTCTACTGGTTTTTTAATGATGTTGAAAAAGAAAGCACTTGGAATACTTGGAGTTCTTCAGGTGGGCTTGAAATACCTGATCTGAGCTGTTTGCAAGGGAGGCATGCAGTCGGCCTTTTAAAAAGACTTTCTATATGTGTGTGTCTCATGGGGGGAGGGGAGGGAGAAACACATGGGATGACAGAATGGTTTGGGTTGGAAGGGACCTTTAAGATCATCCAGTTCCACCCCCTGCTGTAGGCAGGGACACCTCCCTCTAGCCCAGGTTGCTCGCAGCCCCATCCAACCTGGCCTTCAATGCATCCATGCAGGGGCATCCGCAGCCTCGCAGGGCAACCTGTTCAGCGTCTCACCACCCTCACAGTAAAGAATTTCTTCCTGATATCCAGTCTGAATCCGCCTTCTTCCAGTTTAAAGCCATCTCCCCTCATCCTGTCACTACCTGCCCATACAAAAAGCCCCTACCCAGCTTTTCTGTAGGCTCCTTTGGGTCCTGGAAGGCCGCTATAAGGTCTCCTCAGAGTCTTCTCTTCTCCAGGCTGCAGAGTCCCAGCTCTCTCAGCTTGTCCCCATAGGGAGGTGCTTCAGCCCTCTGATCATCCTCAGCTCAGCTGGTGCAGAATCATGAGCCATAGAGATCCCTCCATTGAGCATAGTTTCCGGCTGCCCATCTTATCTCACACACAGGCATCTGTCTCCTAAATAGCTCTATCTTTCACTGGCTCGTTGTGCTGCTGGAATGGGGTTTGACTTCTTTATGTTCAGGGTCTTGGCAAGAGACAAATGGAGAGGGAATGAGTAGCAGCCAAGCTTAGGTCTATACTGGGCATCCAACCCAGGACTCCACAGCCAAGGGCTCCACATCAAGGCCAGCCTTGGTGGCAGCATTCCCTCCTGCTCAGCCCTGAGGACACAGTGAGGTCCTAAGCACTTGCAGACAGAGCTGAGGTCAAGCAGTGGGGCACTGGGCTGTCCTGTCTGCAGGTTTGGGTATTTTGGGTATCCCAAGGCAGTGTGGTTCCTGCACTGATCCTACTGGGTTATCCAGAAGGATGGGGGATGCTGCTGAGGCTTAGTGAGAACTGAGCTTTTCCAGCCATTAACAAATATGAAAGCAAAGCACACATCGTGGTGTTTGGACAAAGCAATGTGAGAAGTCTGTTCTTGATAACACTGACATGCAGATTTCTCTTAGAAGCTTTTGTTGGGTTGTCATTGCAAATGGTAATGTTTGCTGAGGTGCCTTTACTTGTTCCTATTATTTTGGTTCTTAAGTCAGGCACTTTAATGTCCTCGTGTGTAGCTATGATCACGTATCATCTCTTGAGTCAGCTCTGGGAATCATCTTCTTGGGTCCCTCACTAACAGAAAGACATCGAGGCCCTGCAGTGTGTCCAGAGAAAGGCAGTGAAGCTGTGATGGGTCTGGAGCACAGATGTTATGGGCAGTGGTGAAGGAATGGGATGGCTCAGTTTGGAGCAGAGGAGGCTCAGGGGAAACCTTATTGCTCTCTGCAGCTCCTGGAAGGAGGCTGTGGTGAGGTGGGGGGTGGCCTCTGCTCCTGGTAACAGTAATAGGATGAGAGGTGATGGCCTCAAGTTGTGCCAGGAGAGGATCAGATTGAGTATTAGGAAACATTCCTTCTCATAAAGAGCAGTGCTGCAGTGGCACAGCTGCCTGGGGAGGTGGTGGGGTCACCGTCCATGGAGGTGTTCTAGAACTGTGGGGATGTGGCATGAGGGACACAGTGAGCGTGGTGGGGTGGGCTGGGGTTGGACTTGGGGATCCTAGAGGTCCTTTTCAACCTGATTGACTCTATAGTTCTTAGCAGCCCCCTCCCACAGAATGCTCAGTAGAACCTCCAGGACAAGGAGGCTTAGAAGGGAGTGCTGAGCCTACACACCGAGTTGATGGTAATTATCCAGAAGCATTGCAGTGCTCCAGAAATGAATGTGGAGAGGTCACATGGGAGGCAGCATCTGCTAAAGGCGTTGGTGGAGCTCCTGGGCTCCTGCCTGGGGCAGCAGCAATGGGGACAGCAGTATGGAGTGATGAGCATCTTCTTGATTTTAAAATGAAGCAGGAGGAGAAGTGGAATTGTAATGTTTTTGTCTTTTTCCCCATGATTGGCTTTATTTTCATTCTTAGTTTGCTGAGAGCAACTTGGAAGGTAAACCCTGGGAAATTTGGGCGAGTGGCCGAAGCTGCTGGGCAATCATTTACTCATCGCTGCAGACCTCCTGCAAGTCCTGCAGCACTGCTCCCTGGCTCTGGAAGGACAGTTGGATTCTTATCAGTTTACCTTCAGGTTTGGGGTTTGGTTTTGTTTTCCTCTGCCCTCTGCTTGCAGTGGTGTCATTCTGCATGCCATGGGGCATGGAGATGCTGGGATGCAGCTGCGCTGGGAGCCCACATGGTGCACCAGCCCAGCCCCACGAGTGTGCCAGCTAATTAAGACAGACAACAGATGGCTACGACAAGCAGATGTGGGTGAGCACCAGGTAACAAGGAGATGATTGCAATTAGTGTAATAAGCAGCACATCGCTTACCTCATGTCTGTTGTATTTTAGCTGAGGTGGGTTTTAAAGAGAGCTTGGGAAAATAACAGAGTGGCGTTGTGGATTTCCAGAGGTCTCCTCAGGCGTCAAATATTGATTTCCCACAGCTGGATTATTCATTTTTGTAGCGCTAAGGCAGAGCCCTTTCCCACATTTTCCCATTCATTTGTAAAGCAAATTGGCTGCTGGAATTATCCCCGGGCTAAGGGGGAATGGCCGCTGTGGGTCTGTGAGTTGCAAACACAATATAGATGATCAGTGTGTTAAAATTCACAATATCTCAGCCTTTTGGACCGTCGCCTCTTTAAGGATGATGCTCAGTCTTCTTGATTTATACACCCCTTCCCTTTCTCTTCCTGTTCTCTAGGCGTCAGACACATAAACAACAAGCACTTGTTGAACTTGGAGCTGACATTCAGCAGGTTTGTGCTCTCCACCTTGAGGAATTCACTTTGCTTTGTACATTTGTGTTTGTTGCCGTATGCAGAATTACCTTCTGCTCCACGGTTCCATTTCATTGACTGTAGGGCTCGTGATAGCTTTCCAAAGCAAAATCAGAGAATCACAGAATGGCCTGGGTTGCAAAGGCCCACAGTGCTCATCCAGTGCCAACCCCCTGCTGTGTGCAGGTCACCAACCAGCAGCCCAGGCTGCCCAGAGCCACATCCAGCCTGGCCTTGAATGCCTGCAGGGATGGGGCATCCACAGCCTCCTTGGGCAACCTGTGCCAGTGCCTCACCACCCTCTGGGGGAAAAACTTCCTCCTAACATCCAACCTAAACCTCCCATGTGTTATTTTAAAACCATTCCCTCTTGTCCTGTCACTGTCCACCCTTGTAAACAGCTCTTAATATTTCTTGTGGGTAGAAGAACAAGCAATGGAGAAGTCTGAACAGGGAAAGTGAAGCTCATCACCTCCATAGGGTGGATATGAAGGACTTTCTAAGCATTGAGAATTAAAATGAGAAGAAGGACAGGCACAGCGAGAGACACTGGAAGGACCTGGGGCCATCATCCCACCAGCTCTGCTCCTCTGTAATGCAAACAGCACTGCAGAACCTTCCTGGAAGGGCTTTGGACACGAGTTGCCCTCTGCTCACAGGCTGAACCAGCAGGTGGGTGCAGGCACGCTCGTGTGCTTGCTGGGGAATTGAGACCGTGGGCTTTCGCTCCACCGCGTCCCCGAGCTGACAGCTTTTATTAGCCTGCTGCCTCAGCAGAGCCTATGATAATGAAGATTTCTGCACATCCCACTTAGCTGGCGGGAGGCAAAGCAAGCAGCAGCCCTGCAGGCACTGAGGGCTCAGGGCCACGGACGCCAGCTCTGTACATGGGGATGTTGGAGCGTGGTGCTCTGCCCTCAGCCTGATGTGCTCCCAGTTCTTGGAGGGCCAGGAATATAAATCCTCATCCATCAGTTCCCTCCTACGTAGCCCTAACGACTGCAGGGATGAAGGGCCCATGAGGCGTTGCTGAACCCCTCTCAGTGACCTTCAGAGCGTTTTGTTGAGCCTGGAGTCAAAATGCTGAAGCCTTTGAGTTTGGATTGGGTTAACTGGTTTCAGGTTGTGAGTTTCATCTCTTCTTGTCTGGATCCTTGCATGGAAATGGGGTGTTCTCAATCCCCCCTGTAGTGAGGACCCAGGGAATGCAGGCTGGCATCCTTGGGGGCTTCAAGCACTGCACTGACTTTGCCACCATAGTAATAATTATTATAATAAGAGAAGGGCAGTCAAGAAGAGATGTTCAGGCTGGGATGAGCAAGAGAAGAGAAGACAAACCCCACTGATGACATTTCCTGTTAAGGTGCTCTGTGACAGCAAGGTGAACTCACCACCAGTACAAACAGCCACGCTTCCTCCAGGAAGAGAAAACAACTCAGATCTCCTGCTGCTGGTTTTTATTTCCACCTTCCTCCCAGCTTTGCTCTCCTTCTGCCAAGAACCCAGGCTCTTGCACATTCAAACTGCTCTTTGCAGGTAGGGATCGATGTCCCAGAGCCAAAGGCTCCATCTGGCAGCATCTCCGAGGGAGGCAGGAGGAGATGGGCAGGGAAATTGGGGTAAGGTAGCAAGAAAAGAGGATTTAGTTGGAAGGCAGACACGTCTGCTGGACTGGTGACATATGGACACCGGGATTTCTTTTCCAACCCCCAAAGAGCGTTGCACAAAACAGATGTGACATTTGTTTTTGACAACTTCAGCAGCCGAAAAAGCAGCGTTTAATCAGGCTGCAAGTCTCTCTCCCTTATCATTACTGTTGTTGGGGGGGGGGGAGGGGGTCAGAAAAAAAGTTTAAGGAAAGAAACCCCAAAGCCCAAAGGAACACCAGATGCAGCGGGTTGGTGAGTGACTTGCAGCATGGCTGGCACAGCCATTTCTCCTATGGTCTGCAGGAGTCCTTTGTTTTTTGCAGTAAGGTTAGCAGCTGGTGATGAACTTGCGAGGGCAGCAATAGAGATGTATCCTTGTGACATTCTGAGTATGCTCTTAATTACCTCTAATTGAGACTGTGTGTGCACAGATGGGTTATGTTGTGCTGATAAATGGGTGTAACGCGAGGGACTTTTCCACCATTGCAGTTTCTGTAAAAGCAGCCCACAAGCTGTGCCTCTCTCCTATAGACATTAGCAGGACTTTGTAAGCAAGGGGTTGGGATCAGAGGTGGTTTCATCTGCCTGGCTGTGGACCATAGGGCCGTTGGGTATTACCAAAAAGTCATCGCTATACGCGCAGAAGTACACTTATAGGAGAACCGTGGGGATGTGGCACAGAGGGACGTGGTCAGTGGGCATGGTAGGGATGGGTTGGGGTTGGATTGGGATCTTGGAGGTCTTTTCCAACCGGAATGATTCCATGATTCTGGTGTTAGACCAAGAGAGACAGCCATGAAGCGATTGCTCTACGGGATAGGTTTGCATCCAGGAGAGCTCATACAAAGCTTGGAAACTACTGCCCTGCTCCTCCCAGGTGAACTAATTAGCTTGTTTTCATCACTGCCTCGATGCTCTTCAGCTGCTTCTGTTTGCTTTCCTAAGCGAGTGGAATATTAACATTTTTACAAGAAGTTGGTGTTTAGAAACCAGGCTTGCTGTGAAAATGCCCCATTGCGGTCTCGCTGGGAGCACAACCCTTGCCCTTGTCCAGCAGGGCTCAGCTCGCCTATTTTTAGAGCAGATTACATTTTTGGCCTCTTCGTCCTGGCAAGTTTTGCTATAAAATAAACTAGTTTTACAATAAAAAGAAACATTGAACGTATTACATCAAGGGCTTAATGCAAGCCAAGGATTTCAGCTGTGGCTTCAGCGTTGTCCTTAATTCACCTCGCTGGGGCATCTGGTGGCTCTGGCCAAGGTCGTGGTCTCACAGCAGAGCATCCTGGTTGGATGGTCGCCTTTATGTGCCCCATCCTCAGCCCTTCAGAACATTTGTTATTTTAATTTGGCTGCTGATAATGTGAGATCAAAGCCTAGAATGGCGGTGTGAGTTAATAGGACTCATTGTTGCAGTGGGAGGACATTAAATTTTTAATGTCAATATTGGGTTTTCTTGACCTGAGCGTGGAGATGGGTCCTTGGGGTGGTCCAGAGCATTCCTATTGCAGCAAGCATCTCTTGATTTGGCTGAATAAAATGGGTTGGCATTGTGGGCTGTGGAATAGTCTTGTAGGGTTTGTTTTATAGCCATCAGTCAGTGCTTTAGTGCTTGTTAAAATTCCAAGTTTAGAGAGCAATGTAAGAAATGAAGGGAACTGAGTTAATAACTCGGTCCCTTCACTCCCTACCCACACAACAAAGTTCTTGTCTGGGGTCCCATTACGTTGCTCCCCAGGCATTGTGTCTTCTCACCGCTTAGAAAGATGTGAAAATAAATGAAGCATTTGGAGGGTAGCAGTATCTGGTATTGAATTATTGCAGTTACTGGAAAAATCACTGAACAACTCTAGGAAAGGAGGTGAAGCAATGTGCACAGCTGATTCCTTCATAGAGCAGCAGTGTCCCTTGGTTTGATGTCTTCTGGGAGTTTTAAACCTGTAGGAGACAGATTTAATCCCATCTGGGCTTGGCTGTGTTCTTGGCTCTTTGGCAAAACCCCTTCAACACAGCTCAAGGTGAAGATACAGGGGAAAAAAAAGCCTTAATTGACTTCTTTGCCCTTGTTGTGCTTATGTAGTATTTCATTCAGTTAAATAAAAGCAGATAGTTCATAATTAATGAATGAGCATGTGGGTGGTGAGGCACTGAGGCAGGCTGATGATGTGGGTGCCTCATTGCCGCAGTGCCCAAGGCCAGGCTGCATGGAGCTTTGGGCAGCCTGGTCTATGGGAAGGGAATGGGCAGGGAATGGAGATTTACATGCTTTAAGATCCCTTCTAACCCAGATCAACTCTGGGATTCTATGAAATGAAGTGCTAGCCTGTAAGCAAAATATTGAAGCGGACCCTTGTAAGGCCAAGCAGACAAAATCTGGGGGGGATGTAGGAAAGAGCTCAGGTTGTGATGTAATGGAGATGTAATGTAATGGTGAGGGCTTGCTTGGCCAAATGGTGACCAAGTGACACCCAAAGGAAGGTAATGTGATCAGTCCTTGTTTTCACACCTTCTCCTCCACACACTGCCCAGACGAGGCATCAATTCAACAGGAATGACGTGCGTTGGGTTGCTCACCTCCTGGAGGTGGCTTGCTTTGTGTTTCCCGGCGCTGTCACGTAGAACCTCCCTCGGCTGCGGAACCCTCATCCTCACCTCGTGTCTCTTCATTTCCAGGTGCAAAGTAGGTCAACATGAGTGGCCTTGGGGACAGCTCGACAGACCCCGCCAACCCCGACTCACGGAAGAGGAAGGGCTCTCCGTGCGACACGGCCCAGAGGTACGTGTGCTGCGCCACGTCCATCCCTGCCCCGGCTACTTTGTCATTCCGACGGCGTCGTTCGATCCCGTCTGCTTGAGCAGATGGAGCCTGGTTTCAGCCACTTGTAAACGTTCACACTTCCCACCAGAACTTCGCTTTGCTTTTATCAGTGGCTGTGGTGGAAGATGGAGCATGATGGAAACGCAGCTCCCCATCTGCTCCGCTCGTTGTTAGGTGGCAAACGATGATTAGAGGCTTGTTATCCAAGTTAATGTATTGATTTTATAAATGGAGAGCACTCAATCAAGTGGAGGAGCGTTGAGAAGGTTTTTCAGGGTAAATTTGGAGCTGGTAGTTCTGTAAAGGGCAACAGTGGGGTCTGCAGGTCATCCCCAGCCTTCCTCCTCTTCATGCCAGATTCCCAAGAAATGCATCTTTCATTCATATTCAGAAACTTTGCTGGAGGCCCTCTTGCTTCTGTCTGAAATATTTTCACTTGCTAGTGCAGAGCGCTTTAAAACTCAGCTCAGTGCAACATTTTGCACCTTTCACTTACAACTGAGCCTTCACATGGCCAACTGATTTAAGATTAACACATCTTAGATCTCCTGTTCACAGGCTCTCTGTGAATCCTGTGTATCTTTTCCCGTTGCAGCGCTGTCTCTTAGTTAGGATGGATTTCCAGCTCTGCAGCCTGGGATGCAGCTTTGCACAGAATATTGATGTGCTGAGCAAACTCTGCACGTATTCTCTGTCAATTACAGCTCATGCATGGCACAGTAGACAATAAGTGCAAAGGATACAGTGTTCTGGTAGCATAAGGGAGAGAGATATTAAGTGGTTGCTTGAGGATTTCTGTTTATTGCAGTTCTTGGTTGTCACAGGAGCTCATTCACCCTCTCACAAAGCCTCTGTAGCTCATGGCTTATCCATGCCATTAAATGAGGAATAATCTCAGGACACAGTTTGATGGCACTTGTGATGGGTGGATGCCTTGCTCCTAATAAATACTGAACTGATCAAGTGAGATAGCTTCCCTTTCTGTCATTTCACACCTGTGTGAGTCAGAGCTCTGCAGCCCCTCATCCTCACCCCGGGATGAAGGCTCTGTGCCTTGTGCCCATGCAATTCAGCTATGGGGATCTCCTGGGTTTGGCTTTCTAACCACTGAGCACCCTGAGAACAGACATCAGCAATGTTCCAGCTCTGCAGGGTGAGGAGCAAACCAGTCGTAGAGATGGTGAGTGAAGGATTCTCCATCCTTGCCCCAGCTCAATGATTTTTGACGTGGTCCTGAGAGTCTTTTTAGAGCCTGAAGCCATCAGACACCACGCAGCAGGGCCCGTGAATAAGGCTGAGGAGTCCTCTCCAGAGCTGCCCTTCTCTCTCTGCAGAGGAGCAGAGCTCTGGCTCCCAGCAAGGAGGGACCTCCCCCAGTCCCACCAACTGCCCCGAGCCCATCAGAGCCAAGTGAACTTCTGAATGCCTCTCTTAAAACTGAGAAGGTTTGACTTGCTTTTGATGATACTTCGGAGTCATAAAGAACAGCCCACTGCTGTAATATTCTCATGATGCCTTTATGTAAGGAAAATTGGCCAATTCTCCCTCCTACAATTCGAAAGTTGCCACAGCAACAGCGACATTATGGCTTTTCATGAAATGAGCTCACCCACAACAGAAGGCTTTAAAAAAAAAGAAAAGAAAAGAAATGTTTCCCTGTTTCCCTACTATTTCTTTTTGGTTTGCAAGACAACTAGGGAATCATTTGACCTTAACTCGAAGCCTCACTCAGCTCCTGTGAGAAGCATTTGCCTGCCCATTGCCAGGTAGAGCTGGGTGCTGGGTGCCATGACGCACCACCCATTGCTGCAGAGCTCCCAGTACCTCCTATGGAAGGTCTTCACCGTGGTCTTGATGCAGCTTGTGTTCTTCTCTCCCTGCAGCTGGCTTTGTGTCCTGTATTTCTCTTCTTTCTCTTTCAATGCTGCTGTTCTGCTGAGTGCATGGGCTGCCAGCCACTCTGGGCCCAATGGGAGGAGGAGGCGATGGGCAGCTCAGCGTGCCTCTGCATTTGGGTCTGTCCCTGCAGTGCTACATAAATACCATCAGATATTTCAGTGCAAGAATGAGCTCAAACAGCAGCACAATACTCAAGAGACAGAGCCTGCCTGTCAGGATATTGAGCTAATAACGTGTTTGGAGTTAAGGAAGAATAAAGGAACATCCACGTAGCCTGCCTGAGGAGCTCCTTGAGGAGGGGTGGTGTTGTCTCACCCAGTTTGCTTGGATGGGATTATGCAGAGTTACCAGGCTATGTTCAAGGTCTTGTTGCTGTGCACTTGCTACATGCCCCTATTGGCAGGGAAACCAAAGCAGACCTCTCTGTGAAGCATCCAGCTGCCCACAGAGCTAGTTTTGTGCTGTGGCACAATATTGGATGGGATGCAGCTTCCCTCTGGAGGTGGGTTTTTGACTCAGGTTGTGTGGCAGCGTTGTCTCACGATGCTCTGTGTCTCCCTGTTGTGGCGGTATGGCTTTAGAGGACCTGCCTTGCCATCTAGAAACCCTGCTGGATCTTGCTTGCAGAATACTGCCCAGAATCATCCCATCATAGAATCGTATCATAGGGTCATAGAATGGCTTGGGTTGGAAAGGACCTCAAGGATCACAAAGCTCCAACCCCCTGCCACATGCAGGGCCACCAACCTCCCCGTTTCATAGCAGCCCAGGCTGCCCAGGGCCCCATCCAACCTGGCCTTGAACACCTCCAGGGATGGATGGGGCATCACACACAGCCTCTCTGGGCAGCTGTTCCAGCACCTCACCACCCTCTTGGTAAAGAATTTCTCCCTGACATCCAACCTAAATCTTCCCTCCTACAACTTAAAACCACTTCCCCTTGTCCTGCCATTATCTACTCTTGTTAGGAGTTGACTCATACAACAGCTTCTCGGTGTAATTTTGAAGATTTTTCAGGCAGTGCTTTGTAAGATAGTATCTTTCACACAGTGTGTCCTGCAGAGCTTACGAGAAAGATTAGATGGCTTATTGCAAAAAAATAAAAAAAAAAACCTGAAAAAAGGTGTTTGTAGGCAGTATAGAGCTGAGCTGGGCATTTTGAGCTGTCCCCATTTCATCCCATAGCAGGTCTAAAGGAATCATGGAATGGCCTGGGTTGCAAAGGCCCACAGTGCTCATCCAGTTCCAACCCCTGCTGTGTGCAGGTCACCAACCAGCAGCCCAGGCTGCCCAGAGCCACATCCAGCCTGGCCTTGAATGCCTGCAGGGATGGGGCATCCACAGCCTCCTTGGGCAACTGGGAAAACGTGTCTCTGTCTCTTCCATATGCACTGTTTTGGTGATTTTGATGCCTTCAAAGTCGTGGGCCAAGGAAAATGTCACAGTGTCCAGGACAGATGTAACGATGGCTGTGTTGTAGCCCATGAATAATTTGTCCTTGTTCTCAGAAATTAGAAATAGTTGATAGGAGAGTGTTGGACCTTCTGTATCAGCTTTATGCTGAAGCAAAAGCTATTCCTAGCAGGGAAAAAAGTTGATCTCATGAATGTTTTCCACTTTGCTCTTGTCACCTTTTGTATTCCGATCTTCACTTTGGTGAACTCCAGTGGATGCAATTGGCCTTTAGGTATGAACTTAGGATTTAACACTGTGACAGCTGCAATAATGGCTTTGGTAAAGCTATTTTTGAGAGGAAGACTCAGGTCTTGGATGTTGCAGGTTTGCGTGGGATGGGAATGTCTGGGCAGCCATATTAGACATATATTAGCCATAGAATCGTTTGAATTCTTAGAGTTAAGGTAAGATGGTTAGGTTGCAGTTGGACTTGATGATCTTTAAGGTCTTTTCCAACCTGAGTAATCCTATGATTCTTTCTATGATTCTGTGAGTTGAAAGGGACTCTTAAAGTCCATGTGATCCCACTCTCCTGCAGTGATCAGGGACACCCACAGCTCCACTAGAGCTCAGAGCCCCATCCAGCCTGACCTTGGCTGTCTGCAGGGATGGGGCACCCACCGCCTCTCTGGGCAAATCTTCCTTGATCTTAATTTTGACTGTTTTTATATGCATGAATGTAGGCAAAAGCCTGAATGAACTCCCCAATGTTTTGGAGATGTCCACATTATAGTCTGGCCATGACTTTAGCCAACACTTGTAGGGCCTTGTTTAACGAAGGCGAGGCTAGTCTGAGCGGTGAGAAAAATCATTCACGTGGCATTTCACTGATGTATTTTCTGTAACAGCAATGAAAAGCGGCGGCGGGAGCAGGAGAACAAATATTTGGAGGAGCTGGCAGAGCTGCTGTCTGCAAACATTGGGGACATCGACACTCTGAGTGTCAAACCAGACAAATGCAAGATCCTGAAGAAGACGGTTGATCAGATCCAGCAGATGAAGAGGTTGGAGCAAGGTAAGGCAGCAACCTTGGTTTGTCTGGAAGCCTGGGAGGAAGAGGCTCCTCCCAGTGTCTTGTGCACAGTAAATTGCAGCAAATAATCATGGCTTAGAAGCGGTTCCATTTGCTATTGTTGTCCTTTTCCTGTTTTATGAAAGCCTTAATATGAGAAAGTGCTTTTCGCTGAGCTCTGGTTGGAGATGCCCTCTTGGTGTTGCTGACTGTGAAGTGGCACCTTACTCACTGGTTGTGTTTCAGCCTGAAGTTGTTCCTTAGATGAGAATGAGAATAAACAGAAGTGCTTGTGAAGCTTTCAGGATCAGGCCCATTAAGCACTTATCAGCAATGCTGCTATTAGCTGTGTACAGAAAACCCGTTTTATAGCCAGATAAGATGAAGGGCGTGCTGTGCAAGATTTCGTGAAGAACCATTTACCCTTGTCAGATCTGTTTTTCTGCCAACAAAATAGATTAGAGGGGCATTAATCCACCCAGTGCTGCTGGACACGGGCACTGCAAAGAGAAGAGATGCACGAAAGGCCATATAAAGGTTAAAATTCACCTCGAGTGTGAACTTGGAGACCGAAATACGCAGGTCCAAAGGGCTTGAGGAAAAGAGGTGAGGTGTGTTAAGGTGTGTACATGGCAAGGAGCAGGGTTTGTCTTGGTCCTTGCAGCCTTGGCATCGTTCTCTGAGGCCACCTGCAGCCCGCCCTGTGATGTGGCCATGGAGGTACATGAATGTGATGTCCTTTTTGCACAAGGTGAACAGCACTCAGCTCATATTAGCTCTGAGAGAGCACCATCAGTCAGATGGGGCTTCTGCCAAAGCTCCTGCTGCACACTCTGGGCACGGCGGCGTGCCTGGTACCAGCTGCTAAAGTTATCCAAAAACCTGCAGCCCAGCCCTGGGTGTGCATGCATGGCCATTCACTCCATCATTTAGACACTTTGCTCTTACCGTAGGCCTCTGAGCTGCATAAACCAGGAGGAGGAGATGGTTGCAAAGCATTAGGCTTATATTGTTTGGGCTTCCTGAAGAAACGAGGCAACAGCTTTTACAGAATCGTGGAATCATTCAGGTTAGAAAAGACCTCAAAGAGCCCAAAGTCCAACCCCAACCCACCCCACCATGCCCACAGCCCACTGTCCCTCAGTGCCACATCCCCACAGTGCTGGAGCACCTCCAGGACCCCACCACCTCCCTGGGCAGCTGTGCCAATGTGTGTCTGCTTTTTCTTAGAAAGGATTTTTCCTGATATCCGACTGGAAATTCATGTTGGGGCTGAACACTGAAAGGAGTTTGGTAGTGGGTGAGGACTCAGTGGTTCCTGCTCGCTGCCACTTCACCTTTCATTAGTTTTCTTGACATTGCACAGCAGGGCTGAACATTAACTAGGACAAGCACTACTTAAAAATATTGTTCCTTGAGCTTTGCTCTGTATTGCAGGCTTATCTAGCACTACATGAAATTACCAAAGAAGAAAAACTTCACCTGTATTTGTTCTGCAATTTATTGCAGGAATGTTTTACATGGGGAGGTAGGAGAAATATTGCTAAATGGAAGGACATTTGTCCTGTGGTCAAAGGCAGCACATGGCAGCACACCCTGCAAAGCTGTGGCAATAAGTTAGGAAGCCCACTCATGAGTGTTATTTCACATCCAAGAAAGCCTTGGGTTTGGGGTTGCAGTGATGTGACACAGTGCTCTCCAGACACCCCAGCACATGCTGTTGACTCACAGAATTATGAATGTTGGAAAAGACCTCTAAGATCACCAGGTTCCAACCCACCCCACCGTACCCACTGCCCACGTTCCTCAGTGCCACATCCCCACGGTTCTGAGGTCTCCAGGTTTGGCGACCCCACCACCTCCCTGGGCAGCTGCATTGCCACTCTATAAGAGAAGAAATGTCTCCTAATACCCAACCTGAACCTCCCCTGGCACAACTTGAGGCCGTCACTTCTCATCCTAACTCAGCCTCTCGTCCTTACTCAGCCAACAGCCAGCCAGCAAGACCCATTGCCACAACCTTGTAGCAGAGCAGCAGAGGGGCTTCCAGTGAAAAAACAGCCAACATTCTCTTATTCAGTTATCTTAGAAGAGGTCTGTGCGAGGTGTGGGTGCCCACAACAGGGAGGTGGCAGTGCCATGGCAGCGGGGACGCTGCTGGTGGCTCAGCCTGCAGCAGCTCACAGACAGCTTGCATGCGTGCACTGAGCCTGCGCTCCCATCCCCCTGCCTGCCGGGCTGCTATTTAAAGTACGAAGCAAATGCTTTTAGAAAAGATTCCTAGGTTTGGCCCCCTTCCAATGTTAGTAATGTACAGTTGGCAGAACAAGCAGTTTGCGGCTGTGGCAGCAACCTGAAATTCTTCTGCCAAGACAGCAATAAACGCAGAGGAGAAAGGGGCCAGGCAGTTAATTTTTTTCAGCGTTCATCTGTCCCGCAGAAGTTTTTGGGTTTTGAGTTTTTTGGATGAAAAGAAGTTGCCCAGGCAGCGTGCAGCTTAGCAAAGAGAACACAGCTGTGAGCGTCCAAGGCCAGGCTGGATGGGGCTTGGAGCAGCCTGGGCTGGTGGGAGATGTCCCTCCCCATAGCAGGGATTGGGGCTGGGGGGTCTTCAAGGTCCTTTCCAACCCAAACTGCTCTGGATTCCATAAACGTGACAAGCAGTATTGAAAACAGTGCTGGATCAGGTGTAGCTCTGCAGCGTGCAACCCTATGGGCAGAGGAAGGCTTTGGCACGTGGTGTTACTCCAGATGCATTGGTCTCTGGTTTGCACAGCTCGACCCAAACCCGTATGCCTAAGAGCGGTGTCACAATGCTCCTGAGCTGCTGCCCTGGGGAGTTGCTCCATGCCCACCACCCTCTGGGGCAGAACCTTTTCCCTTAGTAGAAGAAAAGTTCTGTCCCATCATCTCTGCACATCTGATGGCAATGCAGGAAGATGAGGCTGAAGTCTAAACCTTCAGATTTCTGCATGAGCTGGGCTAACTGGAGGGGCTCTCTGAGCTGATGTTTCTATGGGGGTCCCTCTGAGGCTCTCCAGCAGCTCTGAGCTCCCCACTCACACACATTCCCTCCTTTCAGATACCAAACCCAGGCGGTCCTCAGCACATCGATGGTGTGTCACAGCCACAGCCTCCTGTTTTAAATCCCTCCATTTCCGCTTTCCTTACTGAAGGAAAATCCTTCATGTGATTCTAGGCAGAAATAAGGCATCTTGACTGTACAGAGGGGGCTACAAAAGTGAGCAGAGATGCTGAAAATGCAGCTTTGACATGCAGAATGCTTCTTGTTTGATTTATTTTCTGTAAAATAACACAGTATGTGATGGCTGCTATACAGTCACTATGAGTTCAGAGCCTACACAGTGGTGTGGGTGTAAGCAGCTGCTTGGTGCTGTGGCTCTGTTGGAGCAGGGCAAGTGGTGGACTCTGTGGGGCTCCTGGAGTCTGTTGCAGTGCCTTCCTGAGCTCATTTGCTCTATTCAAGACTCCCCACTCCCGAATTTTCAGTCAGCCTCAGTAAATATTCCTGCTTGCCCCACTTCACTTTTTACAGCACGTCTGTATCCTTGGTGTTTACAACCTTCAAATATTTGCTGATTAGCTCCCATGCCCTCCCCTTGCCATGGTGTTGCACGCAGAGGCAGCTGATGCCATCTTCCCAACCTGGCACCCAGCCTGATAGCTTCCCTTCCCAGACTCTCCCCACTGGCTCAAGATGAGGCTGGCAGCAAGTTTTCTCTTGCTGGATGCTTTGGGGATGGAGCGGGGATGGAGCTTTGGGGGATGGAACGGGGTCACCCTGCCTCAAGTTTGAGCATCCACAGTCTCTGTAAGGGATGCAATGGCACACTGGCTGCAGAAGTTTATCTCCTTATTCCCCAAAAGAATTTCTAATTAAATGGGACCATAGAATCATAGAAGTGTTTGAGTTGGAAGGGACCTTTAATGGCCATGTGGTCCAATCCACCTGCAGTGAACAGGGACACCCAGAGCTCCATCAGAGCCCCATCCAACCTGACCTTGGGTCACCCAACACCTGTGTGGGCAATCTGCACCAGTACCTCACCAAATACATCTGGTCTGGGAGCAGATAACCTTGGGATCATGGGTAGGAGTGGATGGCACGCAAAGATCTGATGGAGATGGGAACCATGAGACCCATGCTCTGGTAGAGGGGTGATGTCTTCTCCCTTGCAGCCCTGCCTGCCTTGGCAGCATCCTTCCAAGATTAAACCACCACATCTTTTTCCCCAGAGCCTCTGCGTTGAGAGAGTGCTTAATTTCCTTCCAAAGCAGGAATGTAAACGCAGCGCCGTGATAGAACAATCAAACACTATTGAACTTTTCATTATGCTGCCTCCAACCCCGGAGAACCGCTGAGGATTGCCCTTGAAACACCTCCACGTGGTCACAGCTCAGCCACCGCGGGCATCCCAGGGCCCCTTCCATGTCCTTCCTGCTCCTGCAGGGCTGCATTATGTTCTCTCACTGCTGAAACGATGCACAGAGCTGTTGGAGACCTGGCTGAGGAGCAGCTCCCATCCCCGCCAGGACGCCTAGGGTCTGCTGTTTGCTTTCTAGTCCTGTGAGGTCCAAAAGCCCCAGCAGATTTGCTCTGCTCTTGCCAAAATGAATGGATTTGTTCCCGTGATTCGCATGGCTTGACTTCTCCAGTGATGGTACCTGAGCTGCAATGGCCAGGGAGCTGCAGGAGCGACTCCAGACCCGCCGAGAGCTGGTGGAGCTGCTGAGTTTATGTCTAAGGGTAGATGAGGGGAAAAACCAGATCTCTAATTAATGCAGTTTTATTCCCTAATAATGGTACAGAGTACTGACTTGATTTCAGGACATTTTAAAGGGTTAAGAGTAAGCTTCCTTTTCTGCGCTTTGCTGTGTTAACCTGCAAAGACGATGGCCCTTCATTTTTAAGTCAAATTACTTTGGACAGAGAGAGGCAGAAAGCTGTTTCTCGAGCCTTTAGTTAATGATTTTCAGAGGGG